TAGGTTGGAGGCCATCGCTAGTAGGTTGGAGGCCATCCCTAGTAGGTTGGAGGCCGTCGCTACTAGGGTGAAGGCCATTTCTATTAGGTTGGAGGCCATCGCTGTTAGGTTGTAGATCATCGCTATTAGGTTGGAGGTCATCGGTATTAGGTTGAGGCCATCGCTATTAGGTTGAAGGCCATCGCTATTAGGTTGGAGGCCATTGCTATTAGGATTGAGGCCATCACTATTAGGCTTGAGGCCATCACTATTAGGTTGGAGGCCATCGCTCGTAGGTTCGAGGCCATTGCTATTAGGTTGGAGGCCATTGCTATTAGGCTGGAGGCCATCGCTTTTAGGTTGCAGGCTCGCTAGTAGGTTGGAGGCCACTGCTATAGTAGGTTGGAGGCCATCACAATCAGGTTTTAAGCCATTGCTCTCAGGTTGGAGGCCATCGCAATTAGGTTGGAGGCCATCGCTATTAGGTTGAGGTCATTGCTATTAGGCTGGAGGCCGTCGCCCTTAGGTCGCAGGCCATCGCTAGTAGGTTGGAGGCCTTTGCTATTAGGTTTTAAGTCACTGCTACTGTAGTGGGTTGGAGGCCATCACAATTAGGTTTTAAGCCATTGCTCTTAGGTTGGAGGCCATCGCTCTTAGGTTTGAGGCCATCGCTATTAGGTTGGAGGCCATCGCTAGTAGGTCGGAGGCCATCGCTAGTAGGTTGGAGGCCATCGCTATTAGGTTCCATTGCTATTTAGTTGGAGGTCTTTGCTTCTATAGGAGGGACCATGAATCACATTGACACTCATTGACACGAGCTTTGAAGGTAGCCGGGTCGAACTCCCAGTTTTTGCGATCTTGGAGGGGGCATCCTTGCGACCTTGGAGGTCAATCGCCATCGCCGCATGATAAACAAGTATAGGTATATATATATATATGTGTATACCCTTGTGACAGGTGCCCCATGGCACGGCTGGGCCTTCAGGCGAGGGGCTTCCGGAGGTTGAGATTCGAAGGTTTTAAGTACCTCAAAGAAAGCGGATAAGGGAGACTGTTGATCAAACACATCCTCCATGTGTTAACCAATTAACAGTATACTTTTTGAGTACCGGTGCTATCGCTGCTGATGCTCGGATGTGCTGTGTAGTGAATGCTGTGGAGTTCAATGATGCAAATGTGCGAGTGAATGCAAGGTGCGAGTGCATGCAAGTCTCCACTCTTTTAAAAGACTTCCGAGTGCAAGACGTTCAGGATCAGTTTAAGTCGAGCATCCTGCATTAGATAGAAGCTGCTCAAAGAGAATGATCTCAGCAGCAGCACACATCGAAACTGTCTTGGAGTCTAAGAGTCGGTTGAATCATTCTCTAAGACTCTTAGAGTCGGTCTTGATAGTTGCCCAAATCATTCCTTCCCAGAAGCATGCTGACATATGATTGCCCAAAGAAACCTCCCGACGAGAAACAAGTTAGTTTTTTCTTGCGACGGTCGAGCCTCACCCATGGTGAACGCATTCCTCGTCCGAGGCGCTTTTGGTCGTGGTGTTGCTCCTGAGAGTCTGGCACGAAGGCATGGATTATGGTTGGTCCTTCCCTTCAAGTTGAGGGCGATTAGAGTGTTGTGACCTATTCCAAGCAGGCTTGGAAAAGGCGCACAGAAACATGATTCCAGCATATACTTTGACCATTGCAAGGATCCGCCATAATTTCTGCCCTGCAAATTCGTACAGGAATTTGATCCTCTATTTCAAACTCTTGTTATGGATTCATGACAATATAAGAATAGATAGATAGATTGATCCCTGGCCCCTTGTACTCCTACGCAGACGCAAAAGAGGCACCCGCCGAGTAGACCAGCCAGATGATGTTCTGAGCAGACCCTGCCATCCCGCTGTCCTTATTGTATGACAACAATTGCTGGAGAATCCTATTCTAGGCTCGGGCAAGCGTGACACAGTGAATGGCACAGAAAGATCATTGAAGTTTGTTGCCAAATGTTCAAACTCTATAGGATGAACGCGCACACACACACACACATCCTGCTACACATATATTCACATGAGAGTTGATTTTCTGAGCCTTACAAATTAAGTAGGGTGCCCCCCAACATAGAACTAAAGCATGGGAGTTCTTAGCATCAGGATGCCCAAGAGAGTTGTAAATCATCACCTTTGACGGGGACTCTCCCAACCCCCAAGCTTGTTATGGCCTCCAACCTAACAGCAATGGCCTCCAACCCAATAGCAATTGTTATATATGTTTTTTTTTGTGTATATGTGTATCAGGTCGCTATGTAAATCTGTTCTCCACCAGCAGTCACCTGCAGTCGCACCAAGCCAAAGGATAAGGGGTTCAAAGTCTGTTGCGATCGTGGTCGAAGACGAGACAGTGTTCAGCATCCAGTGTCTTTGGGGTCATGATAGTGTGTCTTGTTTTTTTTTGAAATCCAACTTGATGCAACAACCTTCTTCCAAGTCTTCTTTCACATCTGACTGCAGGCTTCATCACTACTCAGCTGCTCGGAGAGCGCCCGAGGAAGTTGAGCGACGTATCTTCTTTTTTGGAAGTTCAGCAAAGGGAGTGGGACCGATGGACGGCCTCTGGAGAACCGCGACTTGGGATGGAGTATATACATTATATGAGTCATTTCTTCCTGGAGACCTCGAAAGCCTCCAGATTCTTTCTTCCCCACCAACTCGACTTCATCTGACAGGTTTCCTCTTCAACTTCGAGAAGAACCACCCCAAACATCCCCAAAACCCACCAAACCTGTCCCCGCCAATGTCGGCCGCGGAGTTCACCCACCCAACCCCGGCAGGAGGACCGTGCGGTTTTCGGCCGAGGAGGACAGCAACGCAGAGGCTCCGTGCAGCGAAGACGAAGCTGCAACGATGTGTGGAGCTTTGGACCACTTGCCCGTTTGGGATCCAAGTACCTTCTCAGGTGTTTGGGGTGGGTACTTGGATCCTTAGGTTTGGTAAGATAGTTTAGGCAAATCACGCACTTAGATTTAGTGCCGGGGGGCCAGGTGCTTTCAAGAAAAGTGAACATGCCTTCCCAGGATTCTGCAGATTCCCATAATTCCCTGAGACCCTCTAAGCCTGTTTGTGTACCAAAAAGATGTCCTGTCCTAATCTGCAACGTGTTTCGTTGTTCTGTTCGGATCTCAACCTGATCACATCCCCCACCCGAAGAGCAGCATGACCTGTTGTGACCTGACGGCATGGAAGCTCGTGACCTTGCGAGCTGCTGATGGAAGCAGTGGCATGGAAGCTCGTGACCTACCATATAAGATAAAGTCTAGACCGTGGTTTTGGGGGGTGACTGTGGGTGTGTTGTTTAGCGGTTGTTGCGCATGTTATATTCAAAAAGCTTATTACGACCATACAAAAAATAGCATCTTATTCAAAGTCTAAAACACACAGACACACACACACATCATGTGCATATTGTTTCATTAAGAGCAAGCATTTCCCTATTAATATTCCTTCTTGACTTTATGTGGGCTTTAGAGCTCAGGCTCACAGATAGGCTCCATATTAAGCACCAAGGAGCATTTCATTGGATTTTATGACAAGTAGCCCCAATCAGGGGTTCTTCCCGCGGGGTCACTCCATCTTCACTATTGCACCCTTTGCAGGCCTAGCTCGGCTTTTTCGTTGCACGAAGTCGACTGAACAATAAGATCAATAAGGTGAGATCTTCATCTCGCCCAGTGACCACTTTCATTTGCCACCACTCTGACTGTCCCTGACTGTCCCTGACCATCGAAAAAAGTGTAAGATCCTGTGCCCTGACTGGACTTGAGATTGTTTAGGGGGCCTCCTTCATGTCCTTGCCCGTGGGAGGCCAAAGCAGCCGAAGTGTCACCCTCAGGTGCTGACATAGAAGCAGCGTTTACATGCTAAGCCTGATCCAAGAAGATATGGTGATAGACATGGAGGCAGGACAGGAAGACCTGCCGTTTGATTGTTACACCAAGTGATTTCCACTACGATTTCCAGCAACACCCTAGGAGCATGGCTGCAGCTAGAAAACACGTTGAAAGGGGCTGGCTACATATGTTCTCACCAGACATGGGACTCATATGTACTTCTTGATTTCCGAGCAGCCTGCTACTAAAGCTCTTGTATGTTCCCGCAGCTTGGTTCCAGTTATTTGGGGATTTGCTGCTTGGTTTCAGCTACTCGAGGGTGACTGATTAAGCACAACCAACTACGCAGTCGCTTGGATGTAATTCCTATAATACATTAGCTCTGTGCCCCCAGTAGCGATGCCCTTTGTTCCTAGTAGCTTCTTGTTACTAGTAGTAATGCCAGGAGCTACTAATGGCGTCCTTGCCCCTAGTATCTTCTTCCTTAGCATTGCATGCTGATGCATGCTTTAAGAAATGCCTGAAGCTGTGTGTGTGTGTGTGTGTGTTTGGACCTCATGTGTTTTCTCCCGAGCATCCAGTGCTGGCTCGAGGCAACAGCCTGGAGCATTTTTCGCCCGGTGGGGTCAGTCATCTCAGTCAGCGTTGAGGGTGCTACAAAATCTCACGAAAACAATCACCAGCAGTTCCACAGGAATGGCTTTTAGTCCCATCCAGGGAGTGAATGTGACAAGGGCACCCCTAGCCCCAGCAGGCAACGCTTTGGAACTCCTAGTGCTACCACATGACGCTCTTTTGTATGGCTTTCTTTTGCTCACTCCATCTTAGGAGACTGGTGGAAAGTTATCCGGTCCAAGTGGTGTCAAATCAGCTTCTCAAAGCTCGAGTCGACCTTCCGGATGACCTCCTAGTTCGAAGGGTTCTGGAAAACTGCTTTGCAGATTGAATCAACTAGCTCAGTCTTTTCATCCCAAGGTGGGACTAGGAAAACTGCCGACCAGCTGATTTGTTGAATCCGCTCCTCCTGTTCCTCCTCCTTTCAAGCAACTCAAACGAATCCGTTTTGCAGAAGCCACACTTCCACATCGGCCATTGCTTCATGGCCTCATCCAGTGACGCATGGACGGAGACGGAGCAGCAGCGGCTGGAAGAAGGACTGCATTCCGGTCGGCCAGGCCAGTGGAGTTTCGCTTATCCAACGGTCCATCCTTTTTGGTTCCGAGGATTTAGCCCCAATCCAGACTCTTCAGACACACCTTAGCCTTTAATCAGATGACCGATCCCGAAAGCGGACTCGCCTTCTCAGGATGCTGATGTGGATCATAGGAATCACAAGTTTAAAGGTCTAATTGATCTATTTTAACACAATTATGTGCAATCACTCTAGTCTACCCTGTCTACTCCACTTTGCCCTTGCAAACATGTGCACAACACATCACGAGCAGCTGTCAGCTACTCGTACGTACAAACAGCTCAGAAACGCATGGAACACTCGCTCGGTGTTTTCTGCATTTGTCATCATGGACGCCCCGGATTCCGAGTGTGTCTTTCGATTCTGTGAGACCTGCACTGTCAGACCACCGAACCACCACCTCCACCACGTCCACCACCGAACCTGTCGAACTCCCCAAAGCCTCGGGAATTTGCCCACTCCTCCAAGCAGGACTGGTGAAGTTCGCAGCGCTCTGCGACGTGAAGGAGAAATGGAAAGCCATCGCCCAGCACGTCGGCACGCGCGACGTGCGGGCGTGCGCCGAACGCTTCAAAGCCGCCCGGAGATGAATGAGTGAAGCGGGTGAACAGAAGGGGATGGGGGCAAAACAGCTAAATTTATATCCGACCATTGATGATTGGAACATTTGGCGGCTGGATGGCTAAGGCTTAGATTCCTGATGTCGAATAAACTTTGGATGACATGTGGGTTATGTATGCGGTCAATGAGCAAAATCCCACAAGACATGTATTTAGTTGAGGCACACGAAGTTGACCGCCATGTGTTTGTGTGAGATGAACTGCATCAAGGAGCTTGGTTTGCGTTTCTCCCATGTGTCACCACACGCCGACGATGGCAACATACCGTGATGAGGTATGTCGCCAGCGTGCTTTGGAGCAACAAAGAGCGCAGGAGAAGGAGGAGGAAGAAGAGGAAGAAGAGGAAGAGGATGACGAAGAGGAAGAAGAACAGGACAGTCGACATACATACGACACGTGACACAAGTCCACCTGACTGATGTGAAGATGAAACGAGCCCGTCAATTTGCTTCATGAACCCAGAAGTCTCAGGGGCAGTGAGCAGCCAAATTTAGATGACCATCAACAAATTATCCCGGCAAGAGACCCCGAACAGACTGTTTTAGGTCTAGAGGTGTAGCTGCAGAAAGTCTATAGAGATCTAGACGAATTGGTGTCCAGAGAGGTGATGGTGGTGATGAAGGTGGAGATCGTGGTGGTGGTGTTGTTGGTGGTGGTGGTGATGGTGGTGGCGATGAAGGTGATGGTGGTGGTAGCGATGGTAGTCATGGTGGTGATGGTCGTGATGATGGTGGTGGTGGCGATGATGGTGGTGATGGTTGTGATGGTGGTGGTGATGGTGGCGGTGGTGATCGTGGTGGTGGTGATGGTGGTGGTGATGGTGGTGCTGATGGTCCAGATGGTGATGGTAGTGATGGTGGTGACGATGGTGATTAGTGGTGATTGGTGATGAGGGTGGTGGGTGGTGATGGTGGTGGATTGGGGTTCTCAAGCTGGGTGGGCTTGGAACTGAAGGTCTAGGTCCAGGTCCAGAGTTCTAGAGATCTTCTGCGCCATGCCACGAAGTCACTTAGAAATCCACAAAGTAGTGCGCCTGTCACAAAATCTGCCTTTCAAGGTCCACAAAGTACTGCGGCTGCACTTCAAGCTCCGCAAAGTGCTGCACCTGCCACGAAATCTACCCTTCAAGGTTCACAACCTGCCACGAAATCCACACGTCAAGGTCCACAAAGTGCTGCGCCTGCAATGAAATCTGCACTCCAAAGTTCACAAAGTGGTGCGCTTGCCACAAATCTGCACTTCAAGCTCACAAAGCATCGCGCCACAATAGCGCACCTCCGTCAAGCACCGTCCCGCGGCCAGCGTTTCGCGCGACCCTGCGCAGAGAAATTGCATTTTCTGCGAGCCTGTGCCGCCAAAGCATGCCAAAATGCATGGGAACGGAAAGCATACCCTGATCGAACCCGGGCTTTTACACCTTCTGTAAGATCTGTAAGACCCCCTCAGTGTGGACACGCTGTTTGGGGAAAAACGGCTCTCGGCCAGTGTTTGCAGGTTTAGAACATTTTTGTTCAGAGGGCGTGGCTTTGTAGGGTTTGATGGTCATAATCATGCTTTTGCAACCAGATGAATCAGGACTTTTCAGGGTGCCATATTTTGTTCAATGCCTAAGTTGTCAGGACAACTTCTTCACTTGCCATGAGCAAATGTGAGCAAACAAGTGCAGTGATTGGTGATGGCAGGAGCCGAGACATGATTGGAGACAAGATGATTGGAAGCAGTGGAGAGGTGATTGGTGGAGTGATTGGAAGTGGCATGAGAGCTCTGATCGGTGGAAAGAAGAGACGCCGGAAGACGACGCAGAGCGACGAAAGTGGGAAGTGCAGCAGGAAATTGAGGCGTTCAGCGTTGCATTTTGCAGTTTTTGTTTGCAACACCTTGCACGACAACAAAGGCTATATTTACGAGTCGTTGTTTTGTTCGGGGGGGCGAAGGCGCAGGATTTGTTCCACCAACAGAAACAGTTTGCCACACCTTGAGTTCAGTGGGAACTTCACTTTTTTTTCAACCAGTTTTTTCTCGACATGTCCAAAACTTATATAGCATTTTCGAGACATGTGCCGGGTTGCCCAGGCAAACCGCCGGAAACTGCAGCACAAGGAGGTGCAGAAGCAACGGGAAGAGGAGTTGCGAGAAGCCAAATTGCGCGCGGAGAGAGAGCAGAAGGAGAAGGAACGTCAGGAGCCGCGACAGCAGAGCGCTTTAAACATACTATGATGATATACTAGGTTTTTATACAGGCAAATGAGAGGAATTTTACGTGATGTTGAATCTTGAAATGATATGAATGTCAGATGTTCTCAAACATTTTATGGTAAAAAGGGGCAACCCCAACAATGACTTGAATATGGAGGCATCATTTTGCAATCATCAGTATCAAACTTAGATGCCATCCTGGCCGGGTCACGTCAAGGTGTTTGGTGATTGCAATTTTTCAGTCGCACCCAAATATGAAACAGCGTTCCATTGTCAGGTAATAGACAATGTATGGAATCATTAACCTCCCCATGTTGATTGTAAACCGTTTCATATGGGGGTTTGGTTTTGCTAACCATATGGGATGCCATTGGTGGTCCTTGCAGCTCCACCACAGAGGAACTTCTGTCACCGAGACCTAGCTCTGAAGTGAAGAATGACCCCTAACCCAAACACTTACATGTCATTACAAGTTATTACACACTTTTGCAAACAAATTCCCAGATCCTTATGGCTCTAAATGCTACAAAGCGGTGTCAATGAACTTTTATCGGGACTTTTCCAGGCGACAGGGTCTCACCCTCTCACCCTGGTCTCACGACAAGTGCACAGATTGCCCAAAAGTCGTCCCGCAGTGTTTGGGTCTAAGGAGCAGCAAGCTGCTCGTGAGCAGAAGATCTTGGACGCCAAGGAGCGCGAAGCTCAAAGGCGACAGGAGGAGGAACGGCTCAAGCGGTTCATGCAGCAGAAGCGTGAGGAAGAAGATGCTCAGGTGACCGGTCGAACTTTCTGTGACGACTCAGACCGGTCGTGCTTCGTTTGTTCGTCTATGTGGGTGATATCTGTGGCCTACTCCTACATTCAAAAGGCAAAGATTAAGACGCACATAGACGCACCCAAGCAACGATAGGCAACCCCTGAGAGATGATTATACAACCCCTTTGCAACAAGAAAAGCTACTAGGCTAGTTGTTTCATGTACAAATACAATATAAACAATACAGTCAGTGTTTGCTTGCTTTTGATCCACATTGATTCCCAGCAGTTCTTCCGTTGTTTTCCAACAACAATTGTATGATACGGTATGTGTTGTTTTGCTTTGATTTTTGCTTCTCACAATGAGCGAAGGGAATCTCCCAATCCCAACAACACATTTGGGCTGCGCAAGATCTGGAAAAATGTAACCTTCGCACTGAGAAAAGCAAAGACAATTACAAGGTACTGGGTTACCTTCAAGTCATGAAGATGGATGAATGGATGGACGGAGGGATGGAGGGATTGATGGCTCATGCTCCTGCGTGGAAGCAGAAAAGGCAAGAGTTTCCACGATTAAGTAGTCCTTCTGAAGTATTCTAGGGAGTGGCAGGTTGCCAGGTGTTAGGCAAAATTCTGACCCTTGGAAGAGATATTTCAGCAGACTTACTACACATTTGGGACATACCAATGGAAGTGGTGTTTGTAGTAATTCAGCAATTCACAAATTGGTGTTTGTTTGTGGTTGGTTGACGGCATTGTGAATTTGCAACTCCTTGCTTTCAACCCTAAAGAGGCCGGCTTCTATGGCACAAGGCACTTGAACATGAAGGGTGCCAGGGGCTTCAAAGGCGGCAAAGCTGGAAAGGGCAACTAGGCTGCCGAAGTGATATTCTGGTGAACACCAGCATCCTTGTGAGGGTGGTAAAATACCCCAATCACCATGAAGCTGTCAATAGATGTGGATAATATGCAACCCTTGACTTGAAAAGTCCTGGCACTGGGCTGGCACCCAATTTGTTTGGCGTTTCCCTCATGCGTCCAGAGAAAACGACCCTTGTGCATCTCTTGAGGCGTTAAGAAGGGTGACATCCAGCGTCAGCTGCGGGAGCAGGAGATGGAACGCCGGGCCCGAGAGGTCTTGGCGAACATTGGTTCCACAAGGAGCGCCGAGATCGGAGATCGGAACTCCAGCGACGTTGAGCGAGGCGTCGCAGGTTCGACGAGCAAAGGTGATGCTCGGAACGGTGGCGGCGATCGCGTGGAAGAGAGTGCAGCGCAGCCGCTCTCGAGTGGTAGAGAGACTGCGAGTGACATGAAGGATGGCCCGGTGACCTTAGGTGGGAAGAACAAAGATGGCAAAGGAAAGACTGTCAAGAAAGGCGGCAAAAAGGAGAGAAAGACGGATGAAGCCAGGACGAGTGAGAAGGATCGATGGTGGACTAAGATCGATGGTGATTGCCCCATCTCATTGATCCCGATTGCTGAGCTTCCAGTGCCACCCTTCACCTTGAAAGCCTCTGGCAGCTCTGTGCCTCACTACTTTGATGCCCGCTTCCTGGCCAGCTTTCTCTTGAGCTCCTTTGACTTCATGAATCCAGTCAATCGATCTCCCTTGAATCGCGAGGATTGTGTCGCCTTGGACGTCCATTTGAGGCAGTTCTATCCCGACTCCTCATCCTCCGTGACCGACGCTTATGACCTCTTTCAGCGCAATGGAGGCAATGGTAGTGATGCGGTGCGACGCGAGGCCAGGGAAAAGCCATCAAAAGCACTAAGAGGTTCATACTATTTATATACCCTCCCTGCAACAAACATGGAAGTGAATGGCATGGCTCTTGGTTCAGACTGTTTTTCTCTACAAACCGGTGGTGCCATCCACTTCCATGAGTGTTTCAGGGAGTGTATACCTAGAACCTGATGAACATATGGTCTTTATCAACATAGAGGTCAAATGAGTTCTAGGTATGGCACTGGGGGACCCCAGTTGATCACCAAACAGCAGGTCAAACTAACTAGCCAGGTCAAGCTAAGCGGGTTAAGACAGCTCGCACGAGGTGCCATAACCCACAGCCATATGGGTTTGTAATGGTTTGACAGGGAACCCCCTTCTTCCAGGGGGTCAAATGAGGGTCTCCCTCTTCCACACCCATAAGATATGATGTCACATGCCTCAATCAACGACTTCTACTCGACTCTCGCAGACTCGAGGCCACGGCGGTCTTCCAGCACCTCTTTCGCTTCCAACCCCGGAACTTGGACTCTCGTGGTCGAGCCATCAACTACAACGATGGAGCCTTGACAGCCACTTGGCAGGATCGTGGTCCGCACGAAGGGGCCGAGCTCTCGGTCCTTCCGTGCTTGTGTCGAATCCACCATGTGCCTGCCGTGTCTGTGTGTTTTGTGGTTATAAGATGTATTAGAATTAGAGTGTATGACAACCAGAAGACCATATTCAATATTCAGAGTGCATGGAGATGGATGAGTCCAGCTGAAAGCACAAGGGACCCTTTTGGAACCTTTGATGGGCTTCTCCACTATTCACTAGTTGCAAGAAAGGACTGACAAGGCCAGGATTCCTGCAGCTACTCTCTATAGAAAAGTGCAAGAACGTCACCAAACATGGACCCATCTCATCAATGTTCGCGTAAATCATATTTTGTGAACATGGACTGCTCTTCCCACCCATTGGATGCTCTTCCCTCAAGTCAGAGATCAAACTTGACATTTTTGTTGACTCGCTGGCATCGACCCAAAACAAAAAGAATGGACTTGCAGGAACGAATATATACTTCAAATCATTGCACACAATCTTGGGTAGTGGGCCGTTTTGTGGTGTGTTTCTTTCCAACAAAAAAACCTTGGTCGACCTAGTCTTTTTGTCCTTAGCACTCGTGCTTGGTCACACGAGGTCATCGATGATGACGATATCCGTGTGAGCGCTGCTCAACATACAGTGGCTTCCACTGCCGAAGCACTGGGCAGAGGAGAGTGGGCCGGGTGTGGTGAGGTTTATGGCGGTGGTCTTATTGAGTCAGACCGAACGATATTGGTTCCTATTTGATGCATTTCCCCGTTGGCCTATTTGGGGCATGTGATTGTTAGTGTAACTCCTGCATCCAATGAACCAAGAGTTGCTGTTCAAGTGCCCAGTGTTGGAGCCATGGATGAATCAGGCAGAGCTTTCCATTGATTCCATTGATTTTGAGCAGGAGTGACTCTTGGATGAGCAGTGATGACCAGCTGGGCAGTTCTTTTCATGTAAAAACTCACGTTTGCTACCGAGGGGGCCTGACAGGGGCCAGAATTGAAGAGCGCACACAAAGTTTCAGGAGCAAAATGGAGCATTTTTTTTTACATTTTCCGGAGGCTTTGTTTGATCTGTCATTCCTTCAGGAGGATCTGATGCAGTGTCCGTGCCGGGGCCTGGTCCACACCGCTTCTAGTCTGCAGGAGTAACTCTTGGAGAGCGGCGGAGAATGGGCAGAGTGGCTTTGCTGTCATTTTCTGGCCGATTGCGGTTGTTGACACCTGGATTTTGTTTGAAGTGCTAGACTCCAGAGGTGTTTGTTCTACCGTTCTACCACTCACTGAATCAAGTCGAGGGTACATCAGGATGTATCAACGTGAAGCATGACAACGAAATAGAGTAGACCAACAGCATGTGGCCCTGGATGATCTGATGGTTTGTGTAGTCTCGTGAAGAACACATGTGGATTCACCGGTTGGGAGCTATTCATCGGTGGGACCAGGTGTTCCGACCCTTCCGACCCTGCACCTTTTCGGAGGTGAACTACTTCCAGGGAAGGGTCGGACGAAGACAAGCCTGGTCGATGGGTCATCCGTTCGATCAACCATGAAAGCTTACAGCTTCACCCAGGTGTGGCATCTGCTCCGCTGTCGGGTGCTTGGCCTGAAGCAAAAGCTGCAGCAAATCGTCCAGTCGTGGAGGAGTTCCCAGCCCTGCCAGGCTGGGCCGAACTTCGATGACTTGCCTTTTTAGTACCGACTTCATATATTTCAGCATATTTCAACATCTCAAGATCATCCCAAAGTGTCCCAACCCACATTGCAGTTACAGGTCCCAAAGTTCATCAAAAACATGTTCATGTGACCCACATCTGCGAACATCTGCGAACATCCGTTCGATGCTTCACCTGATGCCTTCTCTGGCAGCTTGCCGTGTGCCCAGGTGCCAAGCCCAAAGCCAAGGCGCCCAAGGCGAAGGCCAAGGCTGCGAAGGCCAAGGCTGCGCCGGTCGGCCGAAGCTTGGTCACACCGAAGACTTGGGCGAAGCCGCCCTGATTGTGGAGTGCAAAAAGCCACCCTGACCGTGGGTGGGGCAGGGGGAAGAAGAGGAGTGGAAGAAGCAAGGGGTAGAGGAAGTGCGAAGGGTGGGGAATCCAGGTTTGGGGGTTGAGTATGGGCGATAGATGGGATAGTAAGCAAGATAAGAACAGGAGTTCTGATTCTGGATCCTGTCAATGATGAATACACCACCATGACACCCTGATGAGTCTCCAGCTGGGACGTTCCAAAGCACATTGTTTGCCATGAACCGTCCATTTTTGTAGGTCGAACAATGGTTATTTTGTCCCAACAAATCCGTTGGGTTTCTGGTGGAGACACAGGCTGCGGCTGAGACCAATCATTTTTTTTCCCGTGCTGGATACATCATCGCGATCAAATCCACGGGGGGCATCCGCTGGGGCGATGCCGCAGGCGGCCCTGTTCTCAGTGAAGATGAGGTGAAAATCCTCCTCGAGGCTTGGGAGAGCGTGACCACCAGTGGCAGACCTTGGGTTTCTTGAGGGAGCAAGGGATGAAAATAAGGGGCGTGTTTGCTTTCCGCAATCGGAGGAGATAGAAAGAATTAGAAGGACACTGAAAATTATGCAAAACAAGACCTGCAAAGGACCTTTCTTGGAATCCACTGGAGGTCATCAACTCACATCAGCAATCGTTCTAAACGCTCCAATCAAGAATTCTTGACCCAACACCCAACTCTTGTTTGTTCATTCAAGTCCTTCGTCACCTCTACTCCAGGCTATACACCAAGGGTGCTCCTTCAAAAACAGCTACTGTAGAAGAAACGAGCGGAGGTCCTCCATTCTTCAACAACAGCACTTGTTGGCGGGGGATTGGTGCCCCACCAAGGCCTTCGGCCGGCAGTGGAATTGATGCGTTCCAACGCACAGGTGGTAGCCAAGAGAAATTGCAGAGTAGCTGTTCCAGGTGGACCACCACTCGTGACGCCAAACGCCACACATGCAAACCGACAGCACTCACACAGATCAGCACGATCCACATCCCACATCACCCCACCGTGTTTCAGACCCTAAACCCCCTAGCATGGAGGCAAACGCTACCAGGATGGACCTACCCTTTGGACGCCTCCATTGCCAGGGTGCTGCGCGGGGCGACGCGGAGTCGCAGACCATCATCGGGCGCATGTGCCTCGAAGGTGAGGGCGGCGACGTTTGCACCGGCGTGAGTTGTGTGTTTTTTGTGTCTTATACAGATACTAACATGATACTAACACGACTTGCGGTCCCTGTCCGTGACGGCCTTTCATAGGCAGAGAAGTCGGAGGGGAATCAGGTATTCCCAATGATACGTACATATAAAGCTTCGCATGACTTCCAGTGTGGAGATTCTTCTTTGTTTGAAAGACCGAGAGATACGCATCATGTCCTTTTTGAACCTGGCTTTTCTTGTTTGCGTCCACAGATTCTTCAGAATCGGCAGGCGGTCAGCTAGGAGCAGACATTATCATGTCCCAAACACGTATATACGACGTGTGTTTCACCATGCGTCCCTTGTGTAAGACGTGTTGCTTAGTCATCGATTGCAGCGACTCTGGACATTCTTTGCTCAGCTGATTCAGATCAACAGTGCCTTGAAGTTTAACAGCAGGTGCTGTGCAAAGTGCACCATGGAGCCTAGCCCGGAGGTGAAGGTTCAAGCCACTTTGAGCAAAGGCAAAGGATCTTTCCATGTTGGAGAGACAGCAGGAACACATGCAGATGCTGAGCATGTGCAGACTGCCGAGGATGCAGTGGATGTGGCGGAAAAGATCATCAACCAGAAGCATCATGATGGGATTATGTTTCGAAACCAAACCTCAGGCAGACTGGGTCAATGTTTGAAGTCCCCTCGCTTTGAATCCATTTTGTCCATTGTGATTTGCTTGAACATGATCCTGATTGTGGCGGAGACGGACCTCACGGCTGATGGACAATCACCTCCAACATGGATCACTGGGTCCAATTTGACCTTCCTTTTCATCTATGTGGTGGAGTGCATTGTGAAGATCATTGTTTTCCGCTTGGAATACTTTCAGGACCGAGACAGCTGAAAACCGACACAGGTGGTATTTATTAGCCAAGCCAAGAGAGTCATCACCCATCAGCCAAGAGAGTCACCACGGCCCTTAAGCCCATTTGATGCCCTTCCTTTTGCATCTCCACCTTTTTCATTCCCGTTCGATGCCCTTCGCATTTTCCCGTGAAACGCCCTGCGTGAAACGCCCGTTTCGCGACGTGGAGGATACATGGAACTGGCTGGACTTGCTGGTGGTGTGTTCTGATTCCTGCTTGACATTCCTAAACTTCTTCGACAGTGTGGAGCGAATCTCCATGATCAGGACGCTTGGTCCGGTGCCCGGACATGCCTGGACCGTTTCAGCTCACATATGCTCACATCATCATGCAGTTACAGTATGTTATAGTTGTAATAAGTTCTTGTTCATAGGCTAGACGGTGGCAGGAAGGGAAAAAGATGAGTCGGCTCTATGCCCTATGCTTTGAAGTCGACTCTTTGAGCGAGATCTTGAGAAGTAGACATGATCTTGATGAGCAGTATGTTTGAAATTTATTGTTGAGTAAAGCTCAGTTGCTGCGCCTAGGCAAGGGTTGTAGAACTTGATGTCAGGACATTACACCGATGTCTCTACTCCTGACAGAGGGCTTTCCTCGAAAGTCGCAGATGTATGAATGATTCAATGATGTAGGCATGGGGAAAGCTGATTGTTGAGCGTCCAACCAAGAGGGCATCAACTATAGAGAGTTGGGTATCCACAAACCATCACAAACCCAACTCAGCAACATTTGAAGGTACAAGCTGTAAGAGACCCTCCCAGTCGAGTGTCTCAGTATAAGGTACGTGCGCACGACGCATCTTCGCTCGAGCACGGAGCGTGTTGCGCGTGAGGATTTTCCGATTGATCAAGCTCTCACGCGCCATCCGCGTGATTCGACAGATCTGGGAACTGAAGATTTTACTCCTGGGATTCAAAGCAGCTGCCAAGTCCATCTTCTTCGGCATGGGAATGGTCTTGGCCCTTTGGCTGGAGATTTGAGAAACTGAATGAGTTTCTCTAAATATGGGCTATGGTGGGCTTGAGCTTCAAAGAAACGGAAGGTTTCACCCCAGAAGATGGGACGGATGGACACGTGAGAGGCCTTTTTTGACACGCGTGTGGGGGAGTCATGTGCTCATGTATGTCGTCTTAGGATGTCTTAGGAATCTTATCACTTATTGGCTCTTACATTCCCACATACATTTCAGATCATTTCAGGGTTGGTGAAAGCAGAACCCATTGTATATCAATTTATGCCAATTTAACCCAAATTATACATATACAGATATATATATATATAAAACTTTATGATTTTGCAGTGGTCAGTAGCCCATTTCCTTCAACCTCACGGTGATCTTTGGGTGTGACAGGGGGCTACTGGTCCGTCCGTCAGTCCATCAGTCTGTGTGTAAATAACTAGTTTTCACGTGCAACATGTCTTGAATACAAAAATCACGACGCGGCCCAAGAAAAAAAACATATCTTTGTTGAGTACCCCTGGACCAGACCAGCATACTTTATCAGACCCTTTGTGATTTGTTTCTTAGGAACCCTGGCTCCTCCACTACCATGCTGCACTTCAGAACTTTTTGGCCCAGGCATCAAACAGTTGGTTTATGCCAACAAACCTGAAAGCACCAAAAATGCCTAGGCAAAACCTACGCACACGCGACGCCAACCACGCAAAGCTATACTCAAAGCTAGTTGTTTAACAGAATATCCCGGCAAGAGACCCCAAACAGTGTGTTTGATGTGTAGAGGTGTAGCAGCAGAAAGTCTAGAGATCTAGACGCATTGGGGTCCAGAGAGGTGATGGACGGCGAGTGTGTCGGCAGATAGGCTTTGAACCTCAAATCCGACCGGCGCGTGAGGCTCGCGGGGCGGCCCGAACAACCAAATCTGAGCACTAGCCCGCATGCGACTGCTCAATACCTGACAGAGCCACCTGCAGCAGGAGCTAAAGTGTGTTCTTGATGTCGCCCAAAGGCAACTGGGTGGTTGAGTTGCTGCTGGCCTTTGGCAGCCTGCCAGCCGCAGGTGTGTGCTAACCATTGCAGTCAAAAGGGTCCTGACTTCGTTGGGGCTTGGAGCCTTTGGTAGAAGAGCTCATATACTGTACCTAGTGGTAGAGGTTGCTCCCAAAGGTCTTGCCATAGTGCAGCCTCGGAGGCAGATCTGCAACTCTTGGAGTGTCCAAACCTTGCTCTGACTGGCCGCGCATGCATTTTGCAGTTCGGTGTGTGCTTACTTCACGGGCGTTGACTTGGCGTAGGCATAGCTTGTGACATGCAGCCCGCGTAAGCTGTAACTGTGGTGACATAGGCATTGCATAGCCAATGGTGCAGGCCAAAAAAAGTTATAAGAGCCCACAAACACACACATACACTGCTCAGGTGATGACATGTGTTTGGGCCATCTTGGGAGTACAACTCATCCACCCTGTGAACAGCGAGATTTGGGTCGACAGTGATTGCGATCGATGCGGTCGAGCTTTTGGTTCGACTTGGAATGCCTTCATTACTATTTTCCAGACAGTCATTGCCGGAGATAGCTGGGGAGTACTAGCTGTTCCAATCATTGAGCATTCTTGGTGGACTTCCACGTGGTTCTTAAATGTTCTTAATTGTCTTCGTGACGGTCAACCTGGCATCCTCGCACCTGGGCCGGTGGACACAAAGGGACAACAACAAAGGTTCGACTGAAACGCTAAGGTTCGACTCTCCGCGGACCCACAAGGGAATCGTTTTCATTCTTCTCGTCTACTTCCTCCGCTTGAGGAAGGGGACTGTGCCAGGGGCCAGGGGGCACACTTGTGTTAAAGACCTCATCGGAAAACGCTGTGATTTTTGTTCGTTCGTTTTGTCATGTTGTCACTCGTATTGTTGACGACTCTGCACGTGTTGCTGTGATGATTGTTGTAGTGGCAGTTTTGCGGTGGCAGACAGTGTTTCTGTACAAGGTCACTTAGTACTCCAAAGAGGTCACGTACATTTGATTCACGTACTGAAGGTCCTGGTGATGTCCGTTGAAACCCTGTGGGCCTGTGGGCAGGATATGGGTCATTGAGAAGTCACTTGCCAAGGGGGTGTTACCTGGGGAGGTCCCAGCAAACAAAGACATTTGTGAACAGATCAAAGTTTCTCTCGGACTCCAGCTCTTGTGCCTGACATGGCGAGGGAAGGAGCTTTGGATTCGTTTCGACCGAGGCTGTGATTGTTGAACGAGCTGCAGATGCACGAGATCAAGAAGTCAAGAGGGGCATCTTGGAGCAGGAGGAGACCTGGGGATTTTTCCCAACTCCTGGGGAATGACTGTAGTGCTCAGCAGGCACGTTTTGTGCTCACGGGGGAGCAAAAAGAGACCAGGCGAGTGAGGGAGGATTCTATGATATTCATTGATAGAGTTCTGCACAGGGTCGTAGCTGGTTGTAGTTGGTCGTGGGGGATGCAAACTACACCTCCACTGCCAATAAAGTAATCAAGGTCGATTTGCACATGTCGTACCTTGAAGTTGCATGATGTTGAACGAAAGGAGACCATGCACAAGTCCAAGTTGAAACTCATTCAGCTTTGCCGGGACCTCGACACGGATCAAAATGGTCGCCTGAGCGAAGATGAGTTCTTGGATGGTTTCGAATCCAATCCAGCCTTTGCCTCTGCCTTGTTGGGCATGGGTGTTTATCCGGAAGACATTGGCCTTCTCTTTGACGTGCTGGATACGAGGGGCACCGGTGAAGTGACGTATGTGAGCTTCGTGAACATCCTGGCACGATTGAGAACCCAAATGAATCAAGTGATCCTTTTTTCCATTACAGAACCTTGGATCTATAATGTACGTAGCACTTGTTAATACTTGTTACTTTGCTTTGCAATCAACTTGGTGATACTGATCTACACTCCCTGAAAGAAACGTGGAGTTCACGGGCCTTCGAACCAGGGTCTTGAAACATCTCCATGATTTGCAGGGAGTGTATCCCTAAGGAATTGCGAAAGTCGGTCACCGAGCTCCAAAAGAGCACCTGTTCTCGCGACCGGGGCGCAACTCCGGGGCGCGGCTCCGCTCGGACGGAGCTCTCAAGCAGTGACGGTCAGCGCGTCGCTTGGAAAAGCTCGGTGCCGGCACCGAAGGCGATGGAGAAGGGCTTGGAGAACTTGATGAAGCTCCAGCTGGAGGAGATGACCGTGGACATGGAACATCGAATCTCACGAGATGCAGATAAAGACTTTGTATGACTTTGGCGGCCAGCATTGCCCCAAGCGGTCGACCGAGGGGAAGATGCACTCCTAAAAGCATACCAACAGCGGTTTCGGCCAAAAAAGAGGGGTTTGGTGTTGATTTGATGGTGGCTTTAAGAGGGTATGACAAATGCAGTACAGAACAACAACGAAACACACGTGCAAACCGCACACGGAGTGAGATTTAGTCCCCTGAAAGGTGGACTTGGGGACAGTAGCAGCTAGACCTTTTCGAGCAGCGAAAAGCTGTTTTTTGGTGCCACCATCAAACCATCTCCCAAATACTCCATGGACAGAAGATATGCTCACATTGACCCCTCAAACCGCACCAATGTAGACATGACATCATGACATACCATACATGGAGTTTTTGGGTATCAACACCCAAACACATCACCATACGGATCCATATGACTGAGTGGTTTGATCGCTCGCCATGCTTCGCCGGTCGTACGTGTAGATCTCGGTCTCTGGAGCGGATCTTGGTTCGCGTGAAGTGGGTGTTTGAGTGGTCAATGTGTATAGATGTTGGGTAGTTCTTGCAACGATGTGCAACGGTTTTTTCTCATCAGTTTTTGTTCAGGGCTCCGACCTTGTGGTGCCCCTTGGCTGAGGATTCCAGCAGATGCATTCAGAGATCCTATTGAGTTTCTCCAGGGCGGTACAGGTGATGGTGGAATCTCAAAGAGAGCAGATGACTTCGCCGCACTGCGAGAACCTCCTGAGCTCTATGTGGAAAGAATTGGACTTCATGGCGAGTGACCTGGAATCCTCCATGAATGCCGAAAACGGCGCCGCCGTGTTCGACGGCGGCGCCAACATGAGGTCAACGGTTCAATCGAATCGGTTGATTCCGCAGGTGGAAGAAGCAACTCCAGACAATCCGGCACTTTGCTGCCAGGCGTCGCCAGAGAATGCTGGGCGGTCGCGGACATTTGAGCCTTCGGCGGATGAGCGGTGAGAGCTGCAACTCACTGTTCAGGATGGATGCCTATTTTGTTTGAGGATGGACGCCAATTTTGTATCAATCCGTCAGTGTAATGTATATACTGTATGAGGAATCTTCAGAGATGGAGACTCCATAGCTTTGCATGATTCTTTTGCTTCTCGAATGACTGGCGAAGGCCTTGCACTGTCATAACAATCTAAGTGTTCCGCAAGTGTTCAGTGGTGGACGCGGACGATGCGTGAACCTTCCGAAGCAATCCCAAGCAGACTTGCTGAACCCGTATACGAACCGTGTTCGACGCCGCTATTGCCCACCACAACGGTATTGCCATGTCTCACAGGCTTGCACAAATGTGCCAAGCTGCCTGGAAAAAGAAACCTCTCAAAGTGAGAACTGCTTTGTGAAAAACCAAAGGCGATGGTGATGCTGTTGAGTCCAAATGGGCCATGAGAGGGTCTGATCGATCTGATGTGGACACTTGCCAACCGGAATGTCTAACAGTCCAACACAGTCTAACTATACGTTCATATTCTTTGTTTGGAGGCTAACAGGGCCCGGGGTCTCGATTGCTTTACAACCTTCCACGTTTGGCCTGGACTTGGAGTCTTGACTTGGCACCTGTAGCCTCTGGCATGCCAAGTGGTTCGCCCATTCGGCACCTTCGTCGTTGGATGATCCACGGTCCGATGAGGTGATGTAGCTGAACCTGATCCGGCACAGGCACCGGTGATGTGGCTGTTGGCGCGATGTTTTTTTTTTCTTCTTTTTTTTCCGTTGAACTTCGCAACCCGACAGACTGCCCCTTCCGGAGCAGTTGTGAGGTGGACTTGCGTTCTTGCATCAGGCAACAACTTTGCGTGATTTTACGTATATTGAATAATGATGATAAATATGTTCATCGTTCTTCGATGCTTAATGCTTTGATGTTTACTTGAGATGGCTTACGATGGTTACACATCGTCACATGCTAATACTTCAGGTATTAGAGGATTGGACCATCTCTTCTGAACATGGAGGCTATATATTGATCTTAAACTAGCATAAATTACCATGGTACAGCACTCTCTCCAGATCATGACGTCCTGCTTTTTCTCGGCTCGCTGAGACCCAGCTGTGAAAAAACATGCATTAAACGAACCACCTTCCTTGGCACGCCACCGCCCCCCCTCCCTCCGACCAAGCCGCGCGCTTCGCATCGTGTCGGCGCGACCGCTCGGCGGTCGCGACGTCGGTGCCGTCAGGCTGCGGAGTGGTTCCTGAAGGCAGCGGAGCAGGGGGACAAAGATGGGATCCTCCTGGCCTGTTTGGGCCGACCGACTGAGTGACTTCGTGGCTTCCGGAGAAACAGGTGGGTGGAAGGGTGGATTACGGTGGGTGGAAGGTGAGTCGGGGGTAAAAGCATGGGAGTTTTCAAGACCAGTTGTGGGGGCATCACCGATATATGTATCACCGATATGACAAGATATCACTCCAGGAATCTTGGGCCAATACCAAGGTTCCCTTTTGTTCATGTCCTGGACCTAGGTGGCCGGTTTCAACCATTTGGATTGTATAAAATCATTAAAATATGCCTGTTTCACGCCAAGTGAGACCTGAAAACCTCCTTCCGGTCCACCTTCCAGACTTTTTTTGGGGGTGACTCACTCGCCAGCCAGGCAATACAATCTTGGGATGTTGCTCATCTCTGGCAACGGAGCACCTCTGGTTCCGACTGGTCGGTGCACCCGAGGTTCGTTCGGTGCGGGCGAAAGGCCCCCTGCAGACATCTGCAGACATGGATTAGATGAGAAGCATTTTATATCTTGGACCATCCTGTTCTGGGTGGCCTGGCTCTGCTACCCTACACTATATCTTAGGTATCTCCTGACAGGACACCCAGACACGATGGTCCGGAAAGTAAGATATATATATATATATACCTGGAACCTGAGTGACCCCTGTTTTGGAGGATCAACCGATTCAAAATATGACCATTTCTTATCAAAACAGAGGTCAAATGGGTTCTAATATAATACTGTATGCATGTGTGTTCTGTTTTTTTCGTCGTCGACCATTCTTCAGTAGAATCCCACAGACCAACAGAGCGCGAAAGCAGCGAAGGGTGGGCTTTTTTTCAAGTCACCATTTGGTGGTTAGATGTTTTGGGTCACATTATTGGTTTGATTGGGTTTGACTTCCATAGGGCCATAGGGCATAGTTACACGGGATTACTAGATATTACTAGGGCGCGCTGCAGCAATTGTGGCTGTGTCTAAACGGACCTGGTCTTCCCTTGTATGATGTGGCTGGATGATTGCGCAAGGCTTTACATTCTGGACCTCTTCCGGAACCTTGCGGGGCAACTGACTAAAGCATACTCACACGAAATGAACATTCTTCAGGATCAAGTTGCCAGTCTCCGCCAACCTCTCAGATGAGTCGCAGGTACCGCAAGACATGCAAGAAGGCTCCATGTGGCTCGAGAAGGTCCGGCACCCAGCTGTGCGACCCACCAGCTTGTAGCTTCACCGTCCAGCGGAAGTGGAACCTGTTTCTTTTCGGGCGACCCAATAAACAAGTCAGCAGCACATGTCATGAAATGAGGAAGATGAAGGCCCCCCAGCCAAAACACGCAAAGGATATATTTCATTGCTGCCATCGCAATCGAGTCGCTTTCCCTTGACCAAGGTTCTTTTGATGAGAGTCACCCCGGAGAAAGTGGAGAGAAGTTTCTCTGTGTGTGTAGAGAGAAAGAGAGAGGGGAACAAAAAAAAACTAGAGATAGAGATAAGGTTACACGTGCCATGACATGCCCATCTACTCCGAAAAAGGGGGGTCTCGCAAGATCGTTCATGTCAAACAGATGTGACTAGATTCTAGATGATTCTTGAAGGCTTTCAACTTTGATTTGGGCGTTGCCAGAGTACTTCCGGCATCCATTGAGGCTGCGGAGCAAGGCGTCCATTTGGCGCAGTACTTCTATGCTGCAACGCACGCAGTCGACACGTTTGACATGTCAAGAGACAAACAGTGTTTCGACTTGAGCGTGAGTTTTGGCATTCTCAGAAGTTCTTGTTGCTGTCTTGCTGTTGCTGTTGCTAATGCTTTTGCTGTTGTTGTGGTTGTTGTTGTTGTTGGTGGTGGTGGTGGTAGAGACAAAAACAGCCGCCCAACATAGTTGTCACATGTTGCAGGGATTTCCAAGGGACACTGTTAGAGATAGGGTTGAAGGTTTGGAGAGATGCTACTTGTAGTAGCTGGACTTGTTGTCGTTGTGCCACTCAAGTCGTGGTTGGTCCGTTTCTGGCTTTTTGATGTTTTTGGGTGTTGTTCTGGGGGTGGTCAAAATACAACAACGGGGCTGCAGATTTTGTTTCTAGGGGGGCAGAGACAACATCTTGTGAGGGGGGTCCAAAAAGCAACAACGGGGCTGCAGCTTTTGTTTTTAGGATGTGGTAGAGGTTCTAAGTACGTTTACTAGACCACTAGCAGTAGTAGCAGTAGCAGTACCATCAGCAGGAGCAGCAGCAGGAGGAGGAGTAGTGGTAGTAAGTACAAGTAATTACAAGTGTAAGTTAAAATTTAAGTATAGGTATAAGTAGTAGTAGTAGCAGCAGTAGCAGTAGCAGTGGTAGGAGTGGGAGTAGTAGTAGTAGTAGTAGTAGTAGTAG